AGCTTTAACATATTCAGTAACATACACCAGAGCAACAGTAAATCTCTTTCACAAGTGGGTGCAAGTTTCTAGGTTCATGGTTGAATTAATATAGTTATATATTATTGAACTCAGTATAAGCCCTGTAAGACTGACTTTATATCCATGCTCAGATGTCAAGGAGCTCAGAAAGTAACCGACTGTGACTAGTAATAATCAGATATATAGACATTAGAAACACATGTGCAAATATCTTAATATCAATTGGATAAAAAATGAATTTTTCTGTATGGGGGTTTATACTGAGTACAATATTGTATAACTGTAATAATTCAACTGTAAGCCTAAAAATTTACAGCCAATTTTGAAAGAGATGCATCTTAGCTCAGGAAATTGTTACTGAATATGTCAATGCTGTTATAATGAAATGCTTCTTCTAAATGTGGATATTAAATAAATAAATTCAAAAAAAAAAAAGCAGCTCTGCCTCTTTGGGCTTCTTCTCCAGCTGAAGAGTGGGCTCTAACTTTAGTCATGAAAGAGAAGTAACAAATGGCACAACCCAGGGCAATGTACACATAAGCTTCCTCTTGGGTCCCCTGACCATCACATGGCTCAGAGGTTTCTCAGTTTACTGAGTTCATCTATCACAAATGCCCTCTCAGGAATGAGCCTGATTGGACAAGAAAACCTCCTCTGGGTCTGCCATTATTTAGGGATAATAACAGCAACAGCCTATATACCCCCTGGGAAAGAGGTAGTACATTTTATAAAACACTGATCTGAGGGACAGTAGTTTTCCAGAGAATCTATGAGCTAAGACACATGGCCACTGGACTTGCTGTGCTAACCAAAAGTCCACTGGGTTTCTATTATGCAAGAGGTCGGCCTGCCAAGTTCTACTCAGGGAAACATTGGAGGGGCAGGGAAGGCAGCCAGCTTTGAGGGAACCGTGTGTATGCATCGGAACTCTGTCCATGGAGAAGTCAGCAAAAATCTAAGAATTTCATCCCATCCTCTACATCTGGCTTCTTTGCCTTTTATTAAAAGTACAGTGATTTTTAGTAAACCAGATCCCAAATGTAAAAAGCAGTAGTTAAAATAAGTCTCTAAAACCTCTCACTGCCAAGTAAAATGCATGATGTCTCCCTAGGAATGATGATTCAAGTGTTAAAATACTGGCATGGGAAATGAATTCCAATATTTACCAGCAATAGCACCCGAAGTTAGCGTAGCAATTACTGGTGTTTTGGTCCTATCGTTGATTTTGGCCAAAAATTTAAACAGCAGTCCATCTTCAGCCATGGCGTAGATGACTCGGGGCATAGGAAACATGGAGCCTAGAAGGCTGGGCAAGGAAAAGGCAAAGCACATGGATGAACAAACAAGCTGAAATAGAATACAGCACCACACATGGTTCACCACCAAGAACACTGTATAACGACCAGGGCTACAAGACTCGGCCCTTAACAAACCTTGCATGGCAAGTGTCGGCCAAGGTAAAGAATATGGACATCTAATGTAAAGTAGCATATGGTCCAGGGGGAATGGCACTAGGAGCTTTTGCATTTATCCCTGCAATCATTCCTGGCTGAGTCAAACAGAAAAGTATACCTGCACGCATGAGGATTCTGTGGCAAATCAGTATTTAGCAACCAGTTCCTGCTTACACAGGCTAGCAGGAAACACCAGGGGCAAAACATGTCTCATTAAAAGGCACTCACTCCTTTTCTAAAGGGACCTTTCAGTCAAACTAAAGGGCAAAATACAGTGGTCAAAGAAGAGACCTGGTTCAGAGGCCAAAGGCAGGGACAGAAAGCCAGTCCCTTGCCAAGAATCATGTCCAAAAGTTGGCCTCAGTTCTTTACAAAAATATAGTGGTCTCTCCTTATCTATGGTTTCACGTTCCATGGTTTCAGTTACCAGTGGTTAACTTCTGTGTGAAAATATAAAATTGGAAAATTCCAGAAAAACACAATGGATAAATTCTAAAATAAATTTTAGTGCTGTGTATGATTATGTTTCTATTTTATTATTAGTTACTGTTGCTAACCTCTGTACCAAATTTATATATTAAACTTTATCTCAAGTATACGTGTGCTGGAAAAGAAAATTATACATATGGGACTTAGTACTATCTATGGTTTCGGACATCCATTATAGATCTTACCGTGTAGGTCCCCATGCATAAAGGGAGCTTGCTGTATCAATGACACAAATAACTTGTGTTGCTGAATGGCAACAAAAGGTTCAAAGAGCCATACAATTAGGGTTGGGGTGCTAGTTCTTGTTGAAGGAAAAAGTATTGGGGATCAATCCACATTCAACTTCCTATGGGCTGTGCCAGCCTCTGTTTTTCCTAATAGCATCTGGCTCCCACGAGGGGCACACAGAAGTGGGCTCTCACCTGGTAGAAAGTGCACAGAGGGAGCCAACTGCCACAGCGTATTTAGCACCTTCCCAGCCCACGCGCTTGAAAGCATCGGGCAGTGGGCTGTCAGTGTCCAGGCAGTAGTAAGGCATCATGAGTGTGAGGGCAGCAGACACCCCGAAGTAAGCCACAAAGCAAATGAGGAGGGACGCAACAATGCCCACGGGGATGGCCTTCTGGGGGTTCTTGACTTCTTCACCTGGAAGCAACAGGGTGTCAGTTAAGGAGGGCAAGACAGCAACAGGCATTGTGTCCCCTGCATGAAAGCACTAGAGCCATGCCCCATAGGGGTCAGTCTGCAGGAATCAGGTCTTCTGTGCTTCCTGTGACAGACCAATAACAACCACCATACAGCCACAGCCTGGATGGTGTTCCCGACCTTGATATCATGGTTCAACTAAGGGAAAGGCTTGTTTTCTTTGGCTGAGAACAGATGGGAGGCTCAAGGGAGCCTGACCTTTTCAATTCACCAGGATGATGTGATTATCATGGCCTGGATATGCAGATATGAAACCAGGCTGCAGCCATGATGTCACTGGTTCACTCTAACAGCAGAGCTCTGGTTATATTAATGATGCGGTTTCCTGTCACAGAGTGAGACATCAGCAGGAAACACAAATCCACAAGTACTCCAGAGGGACAAGGGCAAGTGGAACATGACAATGGGAAGGGAAATGCCAGCAGGGGGGAGCACACGCCCTGCCTGCATGCTGGGGGAAACAGGGCCCTGTGGGTGGGAGGGTCTGAGTACCTGTGGTGGCAATGCAGTCAAAACCCACAAACGCATAGAAGCAGGTTGCTGCCCCTGACAGGACACCAGAGAACCCAAAGGGCATGAATCCTCCCTCACCATGGTTCATGCTTGTGTCACTAGAAGAAAAAAAAAAAAGCAGTCAAATATTAGGATACCTGCTGCACAGTTCTATTTCAGGGACAATATTCATCTCCTGAAGAAAAGCACAGGGCTGTAGACCCTCAAGACAGGTGAAGGCATTTCATTCAGTGGGTGGCAGGCCTCTCTTCTCCAGGGTCCAGAGCCAGCCCCAAATGGCTCTTCCAGAAACATCTCCTATGTTGGGACTTTGGTAGAGGGAAGAACCAGGAAGTAGAAAAACCAGCACAGTGGCTAATCTCCTACGCTTCTTCCCAGAAAGCCATTAGCCAGGTACATAGTCTCTAACCCAGGTGCTGTATATACCAGGAACTAGAAGTCTCAAAACATATTTCTAAAGAAATTAAGGTTTTAAAAAAGGAATTGTTTTAATCAACCACAGCATTAAGGCCCATCTATATGAGATGAAATGGTCAGAAATATAAATGCGTGTCGTGACTGATGGTTTCCTTAAAAGAAGCACCAGGCAGGAGCCCCTGGGGAGGCTGCGAGTCCTGTACTTACAGGGAAGAGGAAAGTCAATTATTGAATGAGTGGAGAGTGGACAGGACTCCCAGAAGGGGATAAAGGGCTAGACTGCTGTCGTCATGCAGATGGTGAAGATAAATAACCAGAAACATTTGGATGACCTGCTGAAGAGACCAAGGAATTGTGACAAGGGCATCAGAAGGCAGCCCTCCCAAGCTGACAGAATGAGAGCAGGTTACTCCAAGATCCAAGACAAGAGTTAACCAGTCCACTGAGACCCTGCCACATCGCTCCTTAAACCCCAACTGACATTGCAATCACCATGCAGTCATAAATCAGGACAGGGTCCTATAAGATGTGCAGGGGATGCTAGTGAGTGACAAGCAAGAAAAAAAAAAATGAATGTGGAATAAATGCCACCTCTTGTGTAAGAAGGGGGGAAGAAAAACACATAATTGCACTTGCTTGTATAGATAAAAAGAAAACCTGGAAGCTTATATAACAAATATGAAAATTAATTACCTATTGTAGGAAGGGGTAGAAAAAGGTAGATGAAGGAACATGAATAAAATTTCTCACTAAGACTCTGTTTTTATAGCATTATAATATATGAACCATGTGATTATTCTACCTACTCAAAAAACCTAATGCAGGATGTAGGCCTATAATACCGGCACTCAGTGGGCTGAAACAAAAGGATCAAGGATCCCAAGCTAGCTTGGACTATATACTAAAGC